AAGTGGACTATAAACACCGGATAGAAAACTGAAAACGAAAAAGTATTGTAGTATAGATATCACACTTTCTAAATCTGCAACTAACCAATTTGCACAATAAATACTTCACCATATGTAAGCAATAGATCTCACAAAGCTTAATTAATTGTATAGACAGAGAGGGAAAAGAGACAATGATTGTTTCTACCATCTCTTGTCATTTGAGAAATGTTCAATCAACATTTTGGGGAAATAATTCTCTATCCTATAATTCTAAATATGTAGTAATCAAAATACCACATAAATATTCACATGCCCCTCTAGGGAAAAAAGGAAGAGAGAGAAATATGAGTAAATTAAAAATGAATGTAGCAATGGTTGATTCTTCCAGCAGCAATATTAAACGTCCATTGGCAAATTTTCACTCAACTGTTTGGGGAAATTATTTCCTCTCTTACACTCTTCAACTCACGGTATGATACACAATATACTCATTTTATATTCATGTTTTTATAATTTTTCTTGTCCTCGGAGTCAGGTTTATCCAAATTCTTTAAATTGGTTGATAGAATAAAGGGTAAAAAACACATTAATATTTTTTGTTTTGTACATGTACTATCATATATACGAGTTTCCCTACATGATCTATCACCAATTATTTCTCGAAACACACTTTAACTATCAGTTGTTCATTTTTCCAACTACCTGAACGATGTTGATCTTTCAAGTAAAAAGAAAAAGGAACAACTAATAATTGAACTTAAGGTGTGTTTTGATAAATAGTTGATATAGTTCAGGTAGAAAATATGAGCACTTGATAATTTAGGTAGAAAATTCGCAAAAAACATGATATTTCAGGTGTGTTTTTGACCATTCACTTTATTTGATAAGTAAATAAAATATATTATCCAAAAAATATTTATACGTGATTTAGACAAACACTATAAGAAGATGTGGTGGGTGGAGTTTTGGGGTGGATCATATTTTTCTTCGCATAAAAAAATCATTTTTCTTATTTTTAAGAAATTTATATTTTAAAATTATTTTTTTAAGTATTTCGACTAATTAACCACTCATGAAAAAAAGTTAAAAATATTTTCCTTTTGCACCAAACACATCTTCATGTAGTGCTATTTTAGTTTTGTATCAAGGTAGTCAAATAGTAAAGCTTAATTCTTGGTGCAGGAAATTAGTGTCGAAGAAAAAATTGAACTTGAAGAGTTGAAAGAAAAAGTAAAGAAAATGCTAATTGAACTACCAAATAATTGTACACAAAAACTTGTCTTGATTGACACAATCCAACGACTGGGAGTTGCATATCATTTCAAAAATGAGATTAAGACATCCCTTCAGAATATTTTTGATGAGTCAGAACAAAGTAAAAATGAAGATGATGACGATCTTTACATTGTTGCTCTTCGTTTTCGACTAGTGAGACAACAAAGGCATTACATGTCTGCTGGTAACATTATTTCTTCTCTTATATCCTATAAGATCTCACCTTAATTTTATTTCAACATTGTATGATTCTTTAATTAATTCTTATGATGCTGAATTAAATCAGATGTGTTCAAGAAATTCACAGACCATGACGGAAAGTTCAAGAAAAATCTTACTAAAGATGTTCGGGGATTATTAAGTTTATATGAAGCATCACATCTACGAGTACACGATGAAGAGATTCTCGAAGAAGCTCTAACTTTTACCATCACTCATCTGGAGTCCATGGTCCCAAAATTGAGCAACTCACTCAAGGCCCATGTTAGTGAAGCCTTAAGCCAGCCCATTCATACAAATCTACCAAGGTTGTTAGCAAGAAAATACATAGGTATGTATGAGAAGATTGAATTGTGTAACGATTTGCTTTTGAAATTCGCGAAATTGGATTTCAATATTCTACAAAAATTGCATCAAGGAGAGCTTGGCGAGCTTACAAGGTACATACATTAATCTTATATCCTTGTCATTTATGTATATATAGTAAATGTTGAATTTTGTTGGGTTTTTTTGTGAGTTTACTTCAATCTTCATACTTTGAACATCCTTAATGAAAATTCTAATTCCATCTTTGATCATATAGGTGGTGGAAAAATTTAGACTTCGCGAAGAAATTTCCATATGCAAGAGATAGAATGGTGGAGTGTTACTTTTGGGTAGCTGGTGTGTACATTGAACCTCAACATAGTCGTGCAAGAAAAATGATGACAAAATTACTCACTACATACGTCATTATTGATGACACGTATGATGCATATGCAACTTATGATGAACTTGTGGCTTTCACAAATGCAATTGATAGGTAAAATATAAACTTATGGATTTTTTTCTCACGCGTTCAATGATGACTAGGGAAATAAAATGTGCCAAGTACATGTAACTAATATGAGATTATTTGCATAAATAAGAAATTTTAGCTTGTGACTTCAATCCAAAATCTTAACATGCAGATGTGATGACATTAGTGCCATTAATTCAGTATCACCCAATTTGAGACCTGTTTATCGAGCCCTTCTAGACCGTTATGATGAAATAGAAGAAGAATTGACCAAAGAAGATAAACTGGAATGTATCTACTATGCAAAACAAGAGGTAAGCTTCCTTAGCTTTATTTCTTTTGAATCAAAACATTAACAGTGCCATATAATATTACTTAATTAATTATGTCTTCAAAACGCTCCTTAGATGAAAGATTTGATCAAGTATGTGAAAAATCTTCATAGCGGTGAGACTTGAACCATGATCTTTGTCTGTGCTACGATACCATGAGAATTATATTGTGTGACCTGTGACCATCTCGTTCAAAAGTTCAATTTATTTATTTTAGTGAGAACACATTTTTATTTACTTAATTATGTCTTCAACAATCTCTGGTTCTACAATTATCTTTTATTCCTTTATTAGATGAAAAAAGTGGCTAGAGCATATCTCAAGGAAGCACTATGGTTAAATGATGTCTATATTCCAAAATGCGAGGAGTACATGAAAGTTGCAATTGTAAGTACTACTGTTATGATGGCTGCAACAACTTTCTTGTGTGTTATGGAGGAAAATATTACCAAAGAGACATTTGAATGGGTGATAAATCAGCCTTTGATTCTTCGAGCTTCATCAGTAATCGGCAGATTAAAGGACGATATTAATACAAATGATGTAAGTGTTGAATAATAATTTTAAATAAATAGATATGTGTTTCGATAAAATTACTGAAATTTATAATATACAATTACGTGGACCTCTATAAATAGATATGCTTCTTTTCTGTTCCTTTTTATTTATATATCTTTTCTTAATAGGGTCGAATTAGCCCACTTGAGCGACCTCTGATCCAACTCCAACATATTGAATTTTTTTTTTGCTGCAGTTCGAACAACAAAGAAGCCATGTAGCTTCATTCATTGAATGCTACATGAAAGAATACGGAGTTTCAAAGCAAGAGGCATATGTTGAGGCTCGAAAGAAACTCACTAATGCATGGAAAGACATGAATGAGGAATTCCTCACCCCTTCCGAAGTACCATTATTTGTTCTCGAACAAGTTATAAATTTTGCACGCTTGGCATATATGTTCAAAGAGGGCGATTTTATAAATACCCGAAGCGAATTTAAGGACATGATTACCTTGTTGTTTGTTGAGCCAGTCAAAGTTATGTTCGAGGATAAATGTTGAGTAAAACATGGCTCGATATCGAGTACATATATAGGAATAATTGGATGTACTTCTATATGTTAAGTTAAATGATACTCTTTCTCTGTCCCTAATTATTTGTCTATTTTTCTTTTTTTAGTTGTCGTTAATTACTTGTTCATTTTGACAAATCAAGAAAGGACAAAAATATTTTTACCTATTATAACTTTAATTAATTATTTTGAAAAATGTAGAACTTCTGGAAAATCTTAGGTTTTTAATTCATTATTTCATAATTAATAGGGGTAAAATGGAAAACTCACTATGTCAATAATTGTTTTCTTAATATGTGTGTCAATTCAAAAGTGGACAAGTAATTAGGGACAGAGGAAGTATAAATTAGATGCTCCCTCTGTCCAACAATAGTTGTCTACTATTGACTTGGCACACCACTTAAGAAACTATCAATAAAAGGATAATTTTACTATATTACCCTATGAATATAATAAATACAATGTCTTGAAAAATGTAATAGAGAAATGACTATAATTAATGATAAGGTAAATTAGGAACTAAGTGTAAAATTATTCATGGATTTCATAAATTAGAAATGTTTATCACCCTACCTAGTTAAATTGACCTTATATAGCTATTGTTTGACTATAGATTTTAATAGTGGCAGAGCCAGAAAATTGATTAAAGGTGTCCAAGAATAATGGTGTATGAGTGTCAAAATAAAATAAAATAAAAATGTGTTATTTGGGATTCAAACCCGAAACTTCTTCATTCAAATGGACACCCATTACTACTGCGCCAAAAACATATTTTTTGTCAAGGGTGTACAACTTTAAATATATATCTTTTAAATGTAGAATTTGATATATATATATACAACGTAATTTTCCGATGAAATAGACACCCTAGGATGGCTATAGCTACGCCCTTAGATTCTAAATATTCTTGACAAGCCATTATGGGTGAAGTTTTGTACGAAGTTTCATCATAAATAACCATAGCTTTTGGAAAAAATATTTGACGTTTAAAGAAACATCATGATTTATATCATAAGTTGTAATTGAAACTGACTTCTAACTCAAATAAAAACAGTATAAAATATTTATATAACTATAAATTTTTAAGGAATAAAATAGGACCGAAAATTCAGTCCAAAATGTTGCATAAAAAAGCAGCGCCTTTTGGAATCTCCTTGGACCCAAAAGAGTCCACAAATTCCCGCAATTATTTCCCGCCATATAATCTTAAAAGAAAGTTCAAATTTCCCGCCATATAATCTCTATTTTTCTCTTCCATTTTCCCAATCTTCCAAAACCCTAATACCTCACCTGAATCCTTAGCAATCCTCCGGCCGATTGCACAAAAAAAAAAAGAGTAGAAAATGCAATTGCCGATATGCCCTGATCGGAAGAGAAAGCAAAGGGGAAACAGAAACAGTTCCATTATGGAAGGTCAGTTCACTCGGAGCAAATCTCAGATCTATTTGCATTGTAACAGGTCGGGTCGAGTTCGGGCTGATTCGACCCGATTCAAGCGCTCTGAGCACCAGCTCCGGCAACTAGATCCACCTGTGAAGAAACTCAAAAGAGTACTTGTACAGAATACAGAAGTTTCTTCGGATCTCTGTGAAATGTCAAGGACACCTATTAAGGATCTTCGTGCTCGAAGGGTGTTCTCTCCAGCTGCTTCTGTTGTTATAGATAATGATGAGAATTTGAAGAAAAGTGAATCCATGTTGATCGAGGAGAAAAATGGAGTTGGGTTTGAGCTAAATGGTGATAAAGTTGATGAATGTGGGGTAAAAAAGTGTGATGAAACTGTAGGAACTGAGAGTAATGGAAATATGGGTGGTACTGGTCAAAATTCGATTGAGCTTTCTAGCGGAAATGTGTCCATTCCGAAGACTAATTCAGTAAGATATATTCTTTCGAGATTAAATTGTTATCATTGTGTCAAAGTTTGGTAGCTTAAATTTTTATGTTTATCTATGAGAAATTTGAACCAGTAGAACCAGTGATAATTTGGTTAGTGTCTACTAGAACACTGATGGTCCTTGTTAGTATAATTTAGAGTATTTATTATACTGTGACTATTTCAGGCGCTTGGCATATCTATGAATTGTTTGGTTAATCAATTAGATTGTGGAATTTTTTGTTAAATGTTTTCCATAACACTGAGAATTCTAATCTTCTTAGGATAGCATCTTTGTGTCAAAAGGGTAGTCTAGTGCACAAAACATCTCGTGTTTGCAGGATCTGTGAAAAGACGTCACCTTAAGGGATTATGATGCATCTCTGTGTCTTCTTTAAATACAAGTGTCCATCATAACAATTCATTAGTTATTTTATTGTATTGGGGAAAGTTATTGTTTGGTTGATAAATTAATTTGAGGAAGTTTCCAATTGTAATTTATTTATTTCTAGGTTGTGAGTTCGAGTTTGCGTAGGAAGGTGTTCATAGCTCCAAGCTCATATAGCTACAGAAGATTGCTGCCATATTTGATGGATGCTTCGAGAGACTATTCTGGTATATTTCTAAATTTGTTTTTTTTTTTAGTCAAAATGATGATTATGAGGATTGAACTTTTCAATGTTTTGAAGTTCTTAGAGTAATTGGAGTTAAAGCAATTCTCTTTTACATAGATGTTTCAGAAATTGAGACACGTGATACATCATCCAAGCTCAACAATCCAACTTCGAGTTATCTGAAACCTCATTTACGATCAGTGGCTAGTAATGGTTCTTCTGCAGACAAACTTGTTGGTGTGAATTCTGATGTCAGTAAGACACTAGGGAGTGTTGAAGGTCAGAAGATTGAGGTCAATGTATCATGCAACCTGCAAGATCTCAATGATGTCCCTGATGTTTTGTCCCAGACTCGGGTAGAGCCTCAAGTGTCTGCCAATGTGGAAGGACTTGATCCCGAGGCATTGGAAGAACGTGTCCAGACAACACCACCTGATGCTGACATTTTCTTAAAAGCTAAAGCGAGTGACTTGGGAGTCAGCATAGATCATAATGTGCAGCATATGGAGAAAAAAACTGCAGGTCATCCATCAGATAGTAGAAATGGCTACGTTGTGAAGAAGTCTACTTTGACTCCCCGGAAAAATGGCAGTGTTTCGAGAAACAAATTGGTAAATAACAATAAAATAACTAATTGCTATTATGAATTTCTCCAAATAAATGATGCTCATTTGCAGACAAAGTGAATGGCCCTTTTCCTCTAATTTTATATGAATTGTTTTTACAGGCTCTAAATCCTTGCTCTAGGCTGACGAAGGTGTTCAAAGCAGCAGGCTCTGTTAGCTACAGAAGATTGCTTCCATTTCTGATGGATGCTGCGAAAAATGATCCCGGTAAGTCACATTTTTCTAATCTTTTATGTACATATATTAGGTGTATTTAAAATGGATCCTTGTAGTCTGATCATGTTTTTCATGTTCCTAGGAGGTGCTTCAAGTGAAAATGGACTTCCTAAATTTCGGATGGACTTGGAGTGCAACCAACCTTTGATCTCTGCGAACATAGAAGTTCCTAGGAACAAAGAATATTCTCCCAAGAAAGATAAAATTAAAGAACAAGAGACAAAGTTATTGGAACCAAACTGCACCTCAGCTAATGACGTGGGTGATTACTTGAACACTTGTATCGCTGTGGAAGTTTCAAGTTCTGCTGCTCAATTGTTCAATGAGATGCCAAGTTCGGTGTTTCCTGATGATGATGCCAATTCCCAGACACAACTTAATGTGGAGATTACAAGAAAATCAGAAACAGAGTGTACTGATACAAGTTATACAGAAAAACCAGAACCAGACTGTCTCAATAATGTTAGTACTGGAACATATTTTTCTGGAGTACCGTCAAGCTCAAATGTAAATCCTGAAACTTCAACTGGAGAATATAATGTGTCTATCCCAAACCTCTTGCCATTCAGTCTTGAAAGTTTGCTAAGTGAATATGGAGTAGAGGATACAAAAGAAGAGCCTGTTAGTCCTGAAGGAGATCGCATGACTTTGGTGGTAGATTGCAATGAAGAAAATAGGAATTGTGGTGATCTGACTGGCAGTGTAGGAATTCATGCAAATGCTAGTGAGTCTCTAAAGAAGGAGCTTTTCCTCAAGATACCTATCAATAATGAAAGCAGCTGTGATGTTTTGCTGGTAGATAGCAATGCAGACAGTGGAGGGCTCGACACAGTTGCTTTGATCAAAGCATCTTCTTTGACTGAACCATCAGATCTTTCAGGATATGGTAATGATGGTCCTAGTAAAATCAGTGAGACCATTCAAGAAATCTCACAATCTGAGCCTATTGGTTGTCCATTAGACTGCATAGGTGTTGATGATAATCTAAACAAAAATGGATGCCTCGAACCAGCTATTTGTCTCCAGAAATCAACTCATACTGAATCATCAAATGATCTGGTTACTCATCTTGATGTTCTCAATAAAGGGATATTAAAGAGAAATCCTAGGGGATGCAGAGGTCTGTGTAACTGTCTGAACTGTGCATCATTCCGCCTGCACGCTGAGAGAGCTTTTGAATTTTCTAGAAATCAGATGCAAGACACTGAAGAAGTTTCTCTGGGATTGCTGAAGGAGTTGGCTGATATGCGGATTTTCTTGGAGAAACACCTTTCTACTGAAAACAACCTTGCTCCTATCCCACTTACTCAGGTAATGACTAGATTAACTACTTCAATAACTGTGGCTCTTTCTGTCAGTTTGTATAACACTTGTTTGGCCTTCTTTCTTTCTGTAGGAGAAAATAGATGTGTGTTCTATGTTATCCATATAATGATCTTAAAGCTTACTAAAGTATTATCTCATTTAACTTTGTTGAACTTCAGCTTGAGGTTGAAGAAGCATGTGCAAAAGCATTGGAAGCAGAACAACGAGCAAAAGAGCGCCTTAGCCAAATGAATAACGAACTCACCTATCACTGCAGAGTCCCGGTAATTTGGCTATTACTTTTTCTATTCTAACTTATATCTACTTTTATCCTGTCCAAAATAGCACTTAAATGAAAGAAGGGAGTTTGCATCTCATATTCATTTACATGTACTAATTCAACCTCATAACCTGCAGCCCTTGTACCGGCCAAGAGTGACATTTGCCACTTGTATTGAAGAAAAATCTATTGCAAAGATAGAATCATCTAGTTCAAGACCTGAGAATGAAGATATCAAAGCAGGGACAAAACGTAGCCGAAAGAAGCATGACTGAGCGTAGTTCCTTGCTTGTGTTATCAAATTTGACTTGTAGATAGATGACATTGTCCAGAAATATATTTTGTGGTTGAAGCCATAACTCTTGATTCTCCTTCTTCAGAAATGAGATTATTTTCTTCTTTTGTCATCATACTGCAAAGAGATTACTTTATATTTTCAAAATTTATCTTTCCACAACCATGCCTTAAAAGTTGATGTTTGTTGAGTTTCAACTTATACTATATATTTATATATCATCTTTGTTGCCATGACTATTATTAGGACCTAGATATATACAGAAAACATAGGAGTAATTGTCCCTGCATTCTCTGGATTGTGTGCTATCTATTACATTTATCATTAAAGGGTCTGACCAATAGTCAATGAAGTCGAGGAGAGTCATGAAAGATTTGGATTCAAGTTCTAACACAAACGAAAACCAATAGGTGATGTCTTCTCATCTACCTAGTGTTGGTGGGTGGTGTTACTCAGTACCTATGTTAGTGGGAAAAAAGTAGGTCTACTGATGGAATTAATCGAGGCGGGCAAGCTGGCCAGTGGTTGATTGAGCTTTTAGGAGCATCTAAGATAATCAATATGGAGGATAATAGCTTTAGGCATCACATTACCAACTTAAAGTTAATGGAGGCTTTCATGGCAAAGGTTGGTGAGGAAAAAGGGTTATTTTTCTATTAGGAATACTAATATTCTTGGTTTATCAAATTATTAATTAACTAGATCAGTGGTTAACCAGTAGTTTGAAATAATTGTAATTATAATAACTTCAGAATAAATCCCAAACTGCTTTCATATACTTGTCCCTTGAGCCGAGGGTCCATCCTTAACAACTATTCTACCTTCCAATTATCAAGGTAGGAGTAAAATCTGAGTACACACTATCAGTAAAATTGATCTTAACTTCATGTTTTAATGTTATTTTCCTTTGTTGTTACTAAAGGCGTCAAATGAAAAGATTAGACTGAATTTGTGCATATCAAAATGAGAAGAGATTACTAATATTAACAGTACCAAAAAGGATATCAAATAAAATAGATACAAAATAAACTACAAGCTAGCTTCAAATAACATACAAAATAAAACAAAGAAAAACATATTAATTTATTCTAGTTGGCTAACAATCTATAAAAATAAAACCACAAGCACATGAAAGAATTTCACAAAAAAAAAACTACTTAGCCCACTCAAAATCTTCTACATTCTGGTGGAAAACCTTGAGGAAACCTCTTAATATCAGTGCAATAATTATAAATCATGAAATTCTTTTGAACCCATCTAAGTCTTCTTCTGCCATTAGCATCAAGTTCTTGATTTTGCCATTTTTGATCAGAAAATTGTGATGGGCTAAAGCTTTGGGCCATATAGTTTCTATAGTAGGCTGTGAATGGGGCTTGGGCCCAATCAGTTTTTACTAGGCCTCCTCTTGTGGCCCAATCATCAGCATTCCAAAGGCTTGAGTAAATCCTCATGGGCTGATTCTTGGGAAATGGTACACCAACTGATTCAGCATTTTTGTATACTCTTATGGGTGTGTTGTCCACCAAGAATCTGAAAAAAATAAAATTAAACATGAGAAAATGTTACTAGGATGGAAATTTGTATTTTGGGTAAAGTTCAGTTACTTTAACATGACAAAGAATAACTAGCTTTGCAACTATTATTATAGGGGTTAAGTTGAAAATGATTCAACTACTTTAGTTACGCATTCAGACATGAAACAATTGATATTTGAAAAGATAAAGAATACTTTCAGAAGTTAGGATGAAATAGTGTTTAGACATGGAATTATATTTTGGTGAATAAAATTCAGTGATCATACGTGAGATCAGTCCCCTTATTTCTCCAAAGCTTATAATAAAGGTTTTTAATACTAACATATAGAGATTAATATAATGTTAAGGGATTTGCTTACATGATGTGTTGGGGTTTCCAAATGATTGAGTAGGTGTGGAAGTTCTTGGTAGGGTCAAACCAAAGGTAGAATTGTTGCTCTTTGTTACCCTTGCCTTGGGCATAAATGTTTGTGTGGAGAATATAAGGTTCACCAGTCACATTTCCCAAGAACTCAAAGTCAATTTCATCATGAGTGGGTCCTTGAGAAGATAACTGCAATAAAAAACACAATAATTAGTTAGTAAAAATGCTACTTAGATTTTATTAATTTCCAAATTGGAGTAACAAAAGGATTAGGCTCTAGGTCATCAACTATGTTGTTCGAACTTTTCAAAAGTAACAAATATATGTCGAGTACCTCACAATATAAGTATGATAGTATTTTACCAAGGTCCAAGCAATATAAGTGATCAATATATAGCATATAATTAGTAGTAATAATTTCAAGTCAACAATGTAAAAATTCTTTACAATATTAGTATTGTTTCAAAAGTGTACTTGTAACTATACTTTATCTTTCGATAAGTAAAACTTAGAATAAATTAAGATGAGTCTAATTCTATTATAAAAAAAGAAGTTGACAACTTGTAAAGTGTGACATGTAATATGCTTTGAGGAATCAAAACAAAAGGAAAAGGATTAGGGAATCAAGAAGTCATTATTATCACACATAAAAAGTTGCTTATAACATCCAAAGAAGAAAAGCTCTTGGCCACATAAAAAAAAAAATATGTCACATGAGTACCAACCAAGTTGTTACATATTTGTGGTTATTTCAACATGTAAAATTAAACAAGTTGCTTGTGAACAATATAATAACTTCCCAACTTATGAATATTAAATAAATATGACATGACTCCAAATTTCACTTTCTTAACCTACCCCAAATTTTTTCTCCAAATTGCAAATATTTTTAAAGTGCCCTTACTTGAAGACAAATACTTGGACTAAAAGTAGCTTTCACAAACATTCTTTAATGTTATAATAGATAAAGTTGAGTAACCATACATAAAATTAATTGTACTTACGTAATATGTTGTAACAGTGCCAGCAGAGTTTCCAGCAACAAGTTTGATTTGCATATCAATTCTTCCAAAGAGATGTTCTTTTTTTGATTGAAAACCAGAGCCAGAAACTTTGTCCAAAGATAAAGATAAAAGTTGACCTCCATTGAAAATCTTGGCTCTATTGCCACCCCAAGTGAAGTCAAATTCTTGAAAAAAATTTCCACCATAAGCAACCATGCAAGAACTAAGTGCTAAAATCAAGAACCCATAATGGGTAAAAGATCCCATTTTTAGCTAAAAAATTTACGTGAACTTTGAATAATGTATGATTTTTTGCTTTTGTGTGAAATGAGATTTAAAGGGAGCAAGTATTTATAGTGAGTAGAAGGAGCTTATAGCTATAAAGAAAAGGGCAAAAAGCTTGTGAACTTCTTGAGTTTTTGGGTGGGGTGGGGTGGGGTGGGGGTAGGGGGGGATGCATGGGCAACAACTGGTGCCAGCTTAGCATACATAAGAGCTGGAGCCTTTTTTGTTTTGGTATTGGATGGTTTAGAATTTTTTGGTGTTTATTAGGAATAATAAAAAAAAAAAGAAGAGACACTCCAAAGTAGTCAATGAAATAAATAAAATCACGATTCAAACTATAATAGTTCAATTGATCATAGACTTGATGTATAAAGTTACTCAACATTTGTGCGCAACGCCAGGGCAGAGCTAAGGACACAAGGGATTCATTTAAATCTCCTTCGCTGAAATTTTTTTCTCTTATATATATATATAATAAAATAGATATCAATTATATCTCCTTGACTTCTTAATATGTTTATTTTTTTATATATATAATTTAAATTTCTTAATAAAAATTTTGATTCTTTCATTATCTATGACGAGTAGTAAATACTATATATTCAATAAAATAAGCGAGATGCACATAAAAAAAGTGTGGGGGTGAGGGTTTCAAGAAGTAGAGATAAAGCTTCCAAGAATGATTCTATCATCCAAAAGAATTTGGTATGGCCTATACTATTTGCTCTATTGTATGATTGGACTAGTAAGTGGAAGCCAACCAGATCAATTGTACTGACAAAAGTATAATAACTCAAAGGGCAAGATAAGTAGATGAGTAGTACTAGTAGTATTTATTTTATTAATAAATGTACACTTTATTATTAACAAGAAGATATATACAACACTTGGTTTAATTTGTTAGCAAGTTTCTTATGACCATATTGTTGTTGATAAGACCAACAACTTTTACTACTGGCAACATCCTGTCATTTTACCCATTTGCTACTTGTTAGGAAAAAGGACAATGAATGAACAATAATTGAATTTTTTAAGATGGATAAGATAAGGTTACTTAATTGTAAATAGGCTCTCTACTTCGTTCACTTATGAAATTATGTTATTGTTGTTGTCGTAAAGAATTACTTTAGCGATGAATAACTTACTTTAGCAATGAATAGCAATGAATAACTTATTGCTTTTTTTTTTTTTTTTTTTTTTTTACCGTGGTTTCCGGGCGTCGCTTTGCGAACCCGACTAGCTGTACCCACCGGGTCCCGCTGTTTCAAGGCGGGTCCACCACGGTTAGTTCCACGGGGCCCTGGAGACGCGGCCGGTTTGTAATGCCTCCAGTGGCCCTGCTGGGGCTCGAACCGGCGACCTGAAGGACTTTGTCCCAGGCCTTTACCAGCTGAGCTACCCCTCAGGGTTATAACTTATTGCTTACTTATCAGTTAATCAAAATTCTTTTATTTTTTTTAATTGTTCAGAAAATAAGGAGAAGGTCTTTGTCATTGTCTTGTTTGTACTTTGTACAACACTATAATTATATATCTAAATCTATATGTTACATTAATTCTCCATAAACCTAGTTCAATAATTGTTCAAACAATCCAAAAATCTAACTAGGAAATAAAGGGACCTTGTTTGTAACTTTTTTGACCATTTAAAACACTTTTTATAAGTGGACAAAAAAGTAGGTCTCTATCTATATTATACAGCCTGTACTGATTTAATTTGTTCATGAATCATTAATTATTAACAGCTGTGGTGTATTTAGTTTAGACTAATTAATGTAATTAATTGAAACTTCTTGGAGGATTCATACAAAAACACTAGTAAAAATTTATAAAAATTTGCCTAATCATACATATA